TTTAGACGACCGTACTAAACTAGAGGTTGAAGGCGTTCTTACGGACGCCCCGATAATCAGTCCCGCTTTTCGAATCGTCGATATACCATCAGGTTATGCAAACCTACTGTCTGAGTACCCGCGACTGGTACGACCAGTTGCAGAGCTTCCGCCAGTCAAGACAGAGGTCGCTCATCACATAGTCACGCTTGGTAAGCTAGTTAGCGCAAGACCAAGACGACTTGCTCCTGACAAACTACGGGCAGCACGAGCTGCATTCGACAACATGCTTCAGCTCGGTATCGTTAGACCGTCCAACAGCCCATGGGCGTCGCCTCTGCACATGGTCCCGAAGAAGGTTGTGGGGGACTGGTGTCCTTGCGGCGACTATCGATCCTTCAATACGGTAACCACGCCCGATCGCTATCCGATCCCACACATAGTGGATCTCACCGCCAGTCTGGCGGGTAAAAATATGTTCAGAAGAATCGACTTAATACGTGCATACAACCAAATTGCGGTACCCGAAGCGGACATCGCTAAAACTGCCACAACGACTTCATTTGGTTGGTTCGAGTTCCTGCGCACGCAATTTGGCCTAAAAAACGTCGCGCAAACTTTTCAGCGTTCCATCGACCAAGTTTGTCGCGGCTTAGTCTTCTCTTACGCGTATCTCGATGACATTTTAATGGTAAGCTCTTCATGAGAAGAGCATATGCGACACGTACGAACAATTTGTGATCGTTTCCCTGAACACGAGATGACGATCAACGCAGAAAAGTGTTCGTCTGGTGTCGATTCCGTCAACTTCCTCGGCCATCGTATCTCCTCTGCAGGCGTGGTGTCACTGCAGGATAAAATTCAAGCCATCATCGACTACCCCGAGCCTCATTCTTCCAAACAGCTTAGGCGTTTAGATGGTCTTGTCAACTTTTACCGACGATTTATACCCAAATGCGCCTTGCTGATGCAACCCCTCACGGACCTTCTCCGAGGGAAACTCAAGAACTTCGAATTTCCTGCCTCAGCACTCGCTGCTTTTAAGTCACTGAAAGAGGCTATCGCCAACATAGTTTCTATAGCGCATCACGATCCGGCCGACCCACTGTCCCTCAGTACTGACGCCTCGGACGTGGCAGACGGCGCCGTTATGCAGCAACGAGTAGCCGACACGCGGCAGCCCTTAGCGTTTTTCTGCAAACGCCTACAACCTACCGAATCTCGCTAAAGCACGCTCGGTAGAGGACTACTAGCCGTGTATCTAGCGATACGTCACTTTCGACTAGTCCTAGAACGCCGCTCTTTTGCCGCCTTCACCGACCACAAACCCCTAACTTACGTGCTCGGCTCGACTACCGACCGACCGATACTCTCCTAGATAGTCGCGCCACCCAGACTATATCGCTCAGGTTATGACCGATATACGGCATGCCTCAGGTGTGCACAACGCCGTCGTCGATGCACTTTCTCGCATCCAAGCTATCTCCGCTGACGCCGGTACTGCTATGGAATTGGCAGCCATGGCCACAGCACAACTAAACGATCCTGAGGTTGATCTACTACGCAGGTCTCCCTCATTGGACATGCGACCCGTTCCGCTGACATCATCAGACGGAATTATACTCTGCGGTTTATCTCTGGGCACGCCGTGCCCAGTCGTCTCACGCTAGTTTCGGCAGACCGGTTCGACACGTTGCACGGCTTGTCCCACATACGCGTTCGTGCAGCGGTTAAACTCGTAATCGCACGATTCGTTTGGCGCAATGTTAATCGGGACGTCCGTACTTGGGCAGCTGCTTGCCTTCCGTGTCAACGCGCGATAGTGTACAAGCACACGAGAAGCCCATTAGGCATGTTTTCCACGCCAGACGCACGTTTTTATCACGTGCACGTGGACCCCGTAGGTCCTCTGCCGCCTTCCAAAGGCTCTGTATATCTACTGACCTGCATCGATCGATTTACAAGATAGCCTGAGGCCGTCCATACCCCAAATTGCTCCACGGAAACGGTAGAGAAAGCTTTGCTGTAACGCTGGGTAGCTCAATACGGTTGCCCCGCCATCGTGCCAACCGATCGAGAGTCACATTTCTCGTCGACAATTGCCACGTCACTTAAGGAGTTAGGCTGTCGCCACGTTCCGACGACAGCTTATCATCCGGCCGCTAACGGCATGGTAGAGCGTTTTCACCGTCAGTTGAAGGCAACGCTACGTGCGCACGCAGATCATTCATGGTCTGAAACGCTGCCCCTCGTTCTCCTAGGCTTAAGAAACACGGTTAAATCCGAGTTCGACGCCACACCAGCGCAGCTAGTCTACGGTTGCACGCTGCGGTTGCACGGACAGCTGGTAGCACCAGCCCCATGTACTTCCACTTTTGACTACGGAAGTTACACTGATCGATTGGCTCACCAGCTGCGTCAGCTACGTCCACCCGCGCCTCGATCGCAGGAGACACCATTGTAAGTGCCCGAAAAGCTGTCTACTTGTTCATACGTCCTTCTTCACGCAGACGGCGTTCGACAGCCTTTTCAGTCGCCGTACATAGGACTTTTCAAGGTGCTGCATCGTGCGAGTAAGGCGTACACTATTGACCGCGGTGGTGGACACGAAGTCGTCACCATCGACCGTCTAAAACCCGCCTTCATGGAAGAAAACCCTCACCTAATTCGTCTTGTAGTGCTTCACGCGACGTCACAACTTACTGCGCACCAGCTTACGGCACTCTAGTGCAGCTTAACCAGACCACGATCTCGGTCTACAAGCCACTCCAACATCTCCCGAATCTAGCCCGCCGCCACCCAGGGCCAATCGCCGTGGTCAGGAGGTGCGTAAGCCCGTTCGTTTCTCCGACTATGTACAGCGTAAATATTTATAGATTTTTAGATATTGTATATATTTGCCCATTTTTGGTCGATTAACGTTTTGAAAACAAGCAAAAATATCAAAAACCTCCAAAAAACCTTTTGCAAAAACCAAAAAATATTTCAACACGCAGGTCATTCCTTTGTTCTTGTTGGCGTTTTCTGCGCGAGTTTTTCTATTTTCTCGTCTCTACATGCCCCAACTCTACCCTTCGATCGGCTGGCCCACACGAGGAATGTTTTCGAGGACCCTGATGCGAACACTGGTCGTTTATCCGCGGGACGAGGGTCGTTTCGCCGCGGGACAAATTCCGCTTCTTCGCGGGACGAGGGTCGTTTTGACGTGGGGCGGGAGGAGAGACCACTCCCAAGCGCACCGTTTGGCAGCAGCGGAGATTGAGGCCCTGTCGGCCTTTTTCTGGGCTAGCCAGTTTTTGTAGTCTGACAAGCCCGCTCCAAGGGCCCGCCAAACTGCACCCTGCCCTGCAATCAATAAATAACAAATCGCAAACGCACAGCGGACTCCGACTTCCGGCGAACCCCCGTTTACACGAACGCGCCCTCATTTTTCCTTGGCATGATTTTGCCTTACGAACCTTGATTCAACAGTCCCTTTCGAAATCGAAGGCTTTATATGTTCAGCCTTCTAGGGGGGAGCTCTGTAGCGCCCCAAAAGATAATTCTTATCTTTCATGTACAATTTACTTGTTGACCGATTGTACATTATTCCTCTTTTTTTAAATCGTCCTTACAACCGGCTCGTCGCCCGACCACCTTGTAAGTTCCCGCGCTCACGTGTTCGCTCTCGCCTCGCTTCATCCGTCTGCTTCTTATTGTAGCCTATCGGACACAATCCGCTGTGTTCGACTTCAATCGCCTTCTGATATCCGCGATTAATTTCGCGCACCGTCTCGGACTAGCATTAACAAGTCCTACACGTTCCCTTTTCAGTTTATACTTTTAGGATAGCTGTAAGGTAGGCTTGACTCAGTAGGCAGAAGAGTGGAGAACAAAATGGCTATCTCAATCTCAGTTTGCAATTCCCCTACGGTACACATCTATTGGTGTATCTGTGAATTATACTTTCCTGGTTAAAGGACAGATAGTGCTGTAGAAGGGACACTATCAAGTTTATATCCTTTTTCAATACACCTCTTCGGGAGGACTTGAACAAGTGAATGCACCGTGCGTAGCACACCTCATATATACCTGTTTTGAATACACTTACGTCTCAAATGACATTGCAATTTAGTCGCAGCGTTGCTTTGACGCAATGCACACTTTGAAAATGCCCATTTAAACAGTGGTTGCGAGTCGCATGCTCTTATTTCAGTAAGGGAAACTGTTCCAGATTTCAGTGTATCAGTCTAGGTAGAATTATTCTTCCGATGTTAGTTTCCGTTTTGAACACAGGGAGTTTATTATCGGTACTTTTAATTGCGTAACTGCCTTCTTTCCTGAAGTTAATATTGACATTTGATGCTAGTACAACCTTATGGATTAAATCAAATAGGAATGTTAACCTTGGCTTTATGCGTTTTAGCCACAGTGGTTCAAGTTGTAGCATCTTAGAACGCTCAGATAAGCTAGGTTTAGATGATGGGTTGAAGAGAGCTCTCGTGAATGCACTCTTTCTAAGCACATGCAGTTGCATTTCTTGCTGCTTATAAAAATAATGGAACAGTATGCTAACACAGGCCTTAAACAAGTGCAGTTTAGGTTCACGCATCGAGAATAATAAGGTTTGCGCTTCTTCGTGAGCTGGCCGTTATGAATTGTAACGCGCCTAGATCTCGTATAGTCTCATTACAGAGGACGGACTTACCTCACAAAGATGGAACGCTTCACGATTTTGCGTGGGTACCGATCGCCAAAGCTGGTAATGTGCAGGTTCAGTGCCGAAAGTAGCACAGCGCACTGGACGTGCAGGATGCGGGTCGAAAAGTGCAGTACTGAGAAACAGCAAATTGAAATATCACACGGTATTCGGCTGCAGCCCACAGAGAACTGTCGGCCGCGCAAACTGTCTGACAGTCGGTCAATTAGCAGAAATTATAATCTAGGAGGCAACAAGGAATGGTTCATGATCACAACACCTGACGCAATCTGTCTATCATGGAAAATTCAAGGGTAAATGTCCGCAGAGAGAGAAGTGGTATGGTAGCTGCCACGTTATATGTCAGCAAGTGCAAATGCACTGGAGCTCATCAGAGGACCCGATCTCACAAATAGGATAGCAGAGTTTAGATTAACAAGTGGGATTATTAAAAAAAGCGAGAGGTAGAAAATACTGGAGGTCACTAAAACAACTTGTACTTTCAAAGAAGTGTAGTACAGCAACGTGGCGCAAGCGTCACCGTCTGAATCTGCAGCACGAGGAAATCAGACAAGGACCTCCTCATACCGAGGAACAAGAAATCAACATTCGAAATCAAAGGTTGGCAGAGAGGAGAGAACAATACGCAACTGAAAATCCAGACCAATGCACAATGACATTGCCAATAACCCACAAGCCCCATGTGGTAGTGGACGAAACAACGAAAGGCGTACAGGTCAGTGATGCAAGAAATGCAGCCAGGGGATCGCTCGGAGAAACGGTAGTGGCACAGGGACCATTAATTTATATAGGTCACGAAATATGAAGGTTTTCAACACATATGAAGGCATCTCATATGTGCCTGACGAAAAAGAGTCGCTCGAGGCAAATAAGCGAGGAATAAGAAGCAGCAAGATGCATGGGAAGTGAATATTTACACAAATGAGGGAAAATTGGGAACTGGGGGTAAGATACAGACATAGTAACTAAGAAGTGATTTCAATGAACAGCAAAAGCAAGGAACGAGAATGCCACATGCCAACTATTTATCATACGGGAGTTTTTGATAGATCGTCGTTAGGACAAATAAGATAAAAAAATAATTCGGCGCAGAAAAATATCCTGAAACTGAGACAAGGTGTTAAGATGTGCGTCCGCGACGAAAACGTTCATAGATGGAACGCTGAAGGCAGCAAGAGCACGATGATACTTGTGTTGACGCGCAGCAAAGTGTTCCACAGAGAGACCAGAGTCGTTGCGTCAAGGTAACTAGTTCGAAAGCAAAAGAGTGCATGAACTCGTGGGAGAATGCACTTAAATGGGTTTAGAGAGTTTGCTTATCACTCTGATCAGGGCCCCATTATCCTCTTTCATTTTTGCATTCTCTTCGCGGAGCCGATTGAGTTCCTGTGAGAACGATAAAAGCAAAATGTTACAAGGTTGTAAGGTGCGAAACACATAAGACATTAAGCGAACGTCAGTTGGGAACTGACTGAAAAGCAACCTAGACGACATATGTGGCAGAATAAGGCAGGTCCACGGAGTCACAAGAATACCAGATTTCGGTGAGACTTTGGTAACCCGAAGAGGCGCATTCTGTAGCCGCATAAGGAACGAACTGGAAGAGGACTTCCAAAACTCAGATTCAATTGTAGGACATAATACACACGTTCGAGGGGCAACATACACACTGACAGAGTAAGGGAGACAATCAACAAGCGTGGTTCACATTCAGATGTAACGTTTAAGAGTAGCGGCTGCAAAGCGATGCAGGGTGCATAAAGTGTTAGGTTTGCTAAGGGGTGTGTAACAGCAAAAAGATGTGCAGTGAGTTCTTGAAATATTATGAATATACACAGAAATACGCACCATCCATAACAGCAAGGTGACAATCCGGCACTATGCAGCAGAGGCATAATGCAGGATCACAATGTGACAGACAATTACCAAAGATACAAGCGTTTACACCTTGCAGAAAAGGCAATGAGCATGTTTGATGATGAAGAGGTGGTGAATCGCTCAACAAGGTTATTTGATGAATCCGAGTCCAGTGTTGCGCACACCAGCATCTGACTACCGCGACGTGCGTTTGAGCTACCGGGGTGTAGATACAGAAATATTAAAAAAAAGCCAATCGACACGATCAAAAGGAATGAAGGCCCTTAGTTCAAAACTGGCTTTGGTTGGAGCATCTCGGCTCGCTGATTGGGACCAGAAAGACGAACACATTCGGCTGGATACACCTGCTGGTATGGATAGGACCTGACCTCAGTAGCGCTTGTGTTGAAGTTTCCTTGTCCCTCCCCATCCAACCACGATCTGCTTTCTGACGCATAAAATTTTGCGGAACAATAGTCGGCTAAAAGCTCTTGGGAACGATGTCCATCTGTTGCCGTTGGCTCAGATGGCTTGCCTGTATCGCGCCTTTTTGCTCGCTCATGTACTGAGTAACAATAACTAAGGGATGCCCACCTCTAGCTAACGTGTATACTGATGACGAATGGATGTTGTGCGACGGTCGGGCGTCCCCAGTGAGATAGTTTCCGTATACTGCGTTGTAAGTAACCCTACTACAGAGATCGTACATTGACTAAATGGGTGGTACAGGAGAAGGAAATCGCCAACATGCAGGTCATGCCGTCTACGAGCCCAACACCCCGGAAGATGTCGAGCGAGACAAAAAGTGGATCGAGTTGAAATCAGACTACGGACGATAGAACGTACAAGCTAGGTATCATCGGCACTATTTTCGGCTACTAGGCCAAGGATTGCTTCCTCGGGACGCTAAGCCATCCAACATCATCAACATCATTATACATCTTAGCTGCAGGTGGAAAACACAGCTATTGTACCGCGACACGAAGGACGAGAAGAAAAAACAACAGAGGCACGCCGGCGGATGGACATCGTTCCGGCGAGCCAACAGCCGACTATTGCGCCGAAAAGTTATATTATACCTAACAAATGACATCGTGATTGCAGGGGGTGGCTAGGCAGGAGAGGGATGGACAAAGGAACTCACAACACAAACGCTATTGGGGCCCGCTCCTAGCCATATCAGCAAGTGTGTCCAACCAAACGTGTTTTTCGTCCTTAGGACCTCAGCCAGGTAGTCGGGATGCACTAAGCGACTCCAACTTTGAAGTAAGGATGTTCGTTTCTCTCGACCAAGACATCGCTTGGCCTGGTGCTGCAATGTTTTCGTCCCAGCTGCTCACAAGCTACCCAGCAGCCGGGACGAAAACATTACAATTAAAAGCCCCCTACTCAATAGTACTAGAAAGTGTAGCCTCTACTATTTGCAAATATTATGGATGTAACGTCTAGTGAGAGGAAGCCATGGCCTTCGGATGCTAGCCACTGTCATCTGCTAAAGTAGTAACCTGCGTGGCAGTGGAAGATAGGTCGTGCTATATCCCAGTTAGCTTTCAAATTGTGTATCCCAGCCGACGTCCTTTATGGCTCAGTGGCATAAGCTGCTGGGTAGTTGGCATCTGCCTGTAGCGGTCATGGGTTCGATTCCCAGTAGGGGACTGAGGGAATGCGCACCACCGACGAGCCCTAATGGGGCGAAACGCATCTGGTGCTTTTCTGGACTATGCTGTGCTAGGTGGCGTGTGATCAGCTAGGACGAAAACATTACAAGTAAAATCCTCCTACTCATTAGTAATAAAATGGTGCTGAGTGGTTCACTAGCTCTTCCTGAAGCAAATACGCGAAACCGAACGCGCTCATTGCTAACGCGGTGCTCCACCCAGACACGAGCTAAGCTGTGGAAGGAGCGATGATCGAACGTGACTAGCCTTTTTATGTCTGTCGATCTGATCGGTCAGTTTCACAACCGTACAAGAGGGTTGAACGGACGGATGCATTATAAACTCTGCCCTTCAGGGCGAGAGTGATGTCACATCTGCGCCACAAGTGGCGGAGATTGGCAAAAGCAACTTGAGCTTTTGCCATACGGTTCGTAATCTCATCTGCGATCCTACGGGCGCTAATATCTGATGCCCAGGTACTAGAATTCCTAAACGACTTCTAGCTGATCACGACCAAGGGTCAACGCAGGGATGGGTCGTAACCAAATTTGGAGACAAACTTTGCATTTCGATGGAGCAAAACAGCCCAAAACGATTGATAATCACTGGTAATCGGTCCAGTGCTGCTTGGCGCGCTTGGGAACTGTCACAGAGTAGGGTATTATCGTCCGCGTACTTCAAGACAAAAAGTCGCGCATCAGGAAATAGCTCCACACCTTCCAGGTAGTGCCCAGCTATGCAACATCTGGTGTACAAAACAAAGCCCTCCAGGGATGGGGACACAAGCGGTCAGGTAAAGCGTAACTTATTCAGTCTCATCTGCTGGTCTAGGGGACAAAGTTCCTAATCGCCATCTAGTAATAGTCGGTGCGAATAATTAATGTGGACAGGCTGGTGGCATCCGACACCAGCAATGTGATCCCCAGACAACGAGGGACAGAGACTTGAGAACACCACAGGTCTCGGACTAAATCTCAATGACGAATTGGAGAACGGCTTTGTTCTTGTACATTTGGCACGCAAGGAAGATGAAAATTTTCATCTAGTTGCAAATGTTCTGTTCCAAGCAGCGAAGTGTGGGAGATCCAATTACCACGATTTACGTCGGCAAAATAAAAACATTAAGAATATGAGGGTTCACACAGACAGAATATAAAAAGAGATTTATGACAGAAGCGCTAAAAACTAATGGAGGCAGCAAGTGAACCAGTGAATGCAAGAGACAGAATACAGGAATGCCAATGAGTGCGGCAGGTCCGATAGTTTCCACTGGTGTGGACCATTCCGTGGCCCCTATCCACGGAGGCGACAAGCGACAGACTGAACTAAAACTTACAGTTAATTTTCCATGCCCTTAGGTCACGTCATGGACTGGCCACCTTGTGGTTTCGCCCAATTCGGTGCAGCCACTGCGCATAATGCACAATGAGGAAGCCGGTTAATGGGCATAGGAAATATATGACCTGTCCACCGTAAGCAGTTCGGCAGTGCCACCGGCTGGGTCGATTCAGAGTCGAAGGCGGCTTTCAGGTCATGGAAAACAACCACAATTAGCTAATAAGCGTGTTTATGCTCTAAGACAATATGTGAACGATGCAACCAGGAACAAGGTGAAAGCGTCTCCAGTATTTGGTGTTCATGAGGACCAGTAAGTCGTCGCACTTTGATACCCTTGAGCCAAATGAAATAAGGCTAATGCCTCGATAATTTTCGCACAAACTCCGTTGACCCTTATTGAAGATGGGGACGACAGTTTACAATAGCCAGTTTGAAGGCATTTCTTCGTCGTTCCAAATAGTATTGAGTACAGCAGTCTACTAAGAGCCACATCAATGATGCAACAAAGTTGGAGGAAGGTCGTCAGGTCCAGGAAAGTTGTAGCAGTTCAACATGTCAAGTTCATGTTGAGTCTCTTCCAAAGTGGGAGGTGTGACATCAACTTCGCACGTCGACTCAGATGATTCAGCAAGCCACAGGCCTACCGAACTGCTCTACAGAATGTTCTGCCCAATGAGCTGGTCGATGAGGATGAGAATGGATCAACTGTCCATCTCTCTCAGCTATTGTTCCACTAACTGATGGCTTTTCTCGGGCCGGTGTTCCGAGTGAGATGGAATCGCACTCGGCTGTTTCCGACAGCACTAGCTTTCTACCTATCATAGGCCATTGCCACCCACTAACGCTCCTGATCAATTTGAAGCTTTCTCAGTCGTTGTTTCAAGGTGTTACGGACATGTTGAAACTCCACGTCCATTGGAAAGTGCTGGTGTGCTTCGATCAAATTGATCGATGCTACAAAGATACGTTCACAGTTCGGGCGTACAGTAGGCGTCAAAAGCATTTTTCATGACACATTTGAGACGACTCCAGTCAGCGTTAGGGTGACCCACCTCATTCATGACTGATTCTTAGTGGGCCAGCTCGTCATGACATTGTCGAACTGCAGACAGTGGTTAAGCGCTTATTTGAAGTGGGAAGAGTGGGCGCAGGGTGTGTGCGCGCTAGAGCAGTCTGAATCCAGGCACGTATTTCAGATTGACCGACAGTCTTGGGCTGCGTGCCATCTGCGGCTGATGACAACATGCCTAAGTCATCGGAGAATTCAGTGGACGCCAGGTGACACGAAGTGAACGTTTGTACTGGAAATCAGTGCTGCTAAGATAAAGATCGCGGTCGGTGAATAGTTGCGGGAATCAAGAAGAAAAGGTTAAAAAGGCATCATCAGTACGCTGGTACGCAGTACAGATGCTGCGCCGCCGCGCAACCGACAACAGTCGCGTGGGGGCAAGGATACTGCGAGGGTCGCCTGGTCCTCTACGCAGATTCGATCCCCCGTCCTCGTATTACAAAGCGGGCTTGGGGTCCTTTTAG